AAGCTTATGCTCCAATACATCTGTTAGTCTTAAAGGTGCCACAGGACTCTCTCTTACTTTTTACAGATCCAGACTGAGGGTACATCTACACTTACCGGAGGGTCCGGCGGCAGGCAATCGATGTTCTGGGATCGACTTATCGCGTCTAGTGAAGACGCGATAAAATCGATCCCTGATCGCTCTGCCGTCGACTCCGGAAATCCACCGCGGCAAGAGGCGGCAGCGGAGTCGACGGTAGCGCGGCAGCGGTCGACTTTCCCCCGTCCTCACAGCCAGGTAAGTCGACCTAAAATACGCAACTTCAGCTACGGTATTCACGTAGCTGAAGTTGCGTATCTTAGGTCGACCCCCCGCTGTAGTGTAGACCTAGCCTAACACGGCTACCCCTCTGATACTATTGCAGAATAGTTTATTCCAGGAGAGCTAGTCTGGTCAATTTCCTGAGGGTGGCACAATTTCCTACCTGTGTTTTGTTCATTTGACAAAAAGTGGAATAACAAGCAGATACTGTTGCCTGAAGATTTTGTAATGGATACACTAATATGTAACTTTATTAATCTGCCGACTGACTGTTTGGCTGGATTGGATTCTTAATTTGTTTTAAACTTCTGCAATCTGTCTGAAGATGTGTAGTATTTGACTTAGACCCATCTGCTGAAGCAATGCATTGAATGTGCCAGCACTCCAAGGGCTTTGTACAACTCAGTGATAGCCCACTTCATGGTTTTGACTGATTTCAGAGCCACACATTGATCATTACAGTTCATTTTGCACAAATAATCCAAGTAAACCGTACTGATACACAGGAAAGCTCATCATCAAAGGTGCAGGCATTTATGCAAAAGCCCCTCACACACAATTGTCATTATGTAGCACTACATAATAAATTCTTTAAACCAATTGTGTCCTTAGACTTCAATTTAATAAGATGGCTAATTTTACATCCATAACAGTGGATTATGCAATCCATTGTTATGAGTTATTTTTTCTTCTAGGTGTCAAACTCAAACTCCTCAAGGACATCCTCTGTAATTCCTCATAAACAGTCTCCCTGCAATGCAAAATTATGATTCCTTTTAAGAGTGTGGTCAGCACAATAATTATCCTGTACCTGCTGAGTTTGACATCACTGTGTCTGAAATCTCTTTCCAAAGTCAAGGTGCTATTTTTTTTTTATTAAATTAAAAACACACATGCTAAGTACCTGACCCTGCAAACACTTACAGTCTAGTTCAGAGCCCATGGAAAGACATCTATTGAGTTTAGTGGTCACTGGACTGGAATAACTTTATTCCCATACATGTTTTCAGGATCAGGCCTCAAGATTGGATCAAAAAATGGTCTTTCTTCAATCCAAAATGTAAAAGTACGTAGTTTTTTCCCCAAAGGTTAACATATTCTGCCTCATTCTAATCAGATACTTATAAAAAGGAATATGTTTCCACTATTCTCTGCATTACTAGATTTCCAATTTGTAACATGCCCTGCAAAGTTCTGCCCTTTCTTTTGTGTATTAAAATCAAATTGCATATCTCATGAAACTTCCCAAGGGCCCAATCCTGTCTCTGTTGAAGTCAGCAGGCATTTTGTAATTGACTTTGACTGGAGCAGGATTGGAGCCTCAGCAAAAGTTTTTAAATATGTTTGGGGTCCAGAGATGTGGGGCTGCAGTGCAGTTATGGAGTATGCTAGAGTTAATTGATAAAAGCTTAGACAGGCTAATTAAAATGAGGAAAATTTGGCAACATGGAACTGGAGGATGTACGTGATCATAATGCCACTTAAAACAGTGACTGGAAGTAAAAGATTCAAAATTAGAGAGAAAAACGGTCTGGAGTAAATAATATCAAAAAATTCTTCTCCCATTGAGCATTACAAGAAGGGCTGGGGCTCCCCAATACACTTTCCCCTGCCCGATCTTCCTCACTCTACTCTTCAAGATCAAAGGACAATGACTGAGTGGGATCTGCTCACTTGATCCTAATGGGTGACAAAAAGAACTTTGTATTCACCTTATTCTCATACAATTGCTCATATAAGCAACTGTAAGAGGAGAAAAAGGGAGACCACAATGTAAGGGGAAACGATACTGTGTGAAAACTCCTACTGATCTCTTTGTGCCTGAATAAACCAAAGCAATGCTATAGGCACTTAGTATTCCAAATCCACATGCATAACTATTTACTATTTCTTTACATAGGCATTTATTTTACTTACCTTGACGGAAGGAGACAGAAACCAGCCTTTCATCAAACTCCTGAATGTGTCTGAAGTTATTAACCATTTCCAGGGGTGCGGGGTCATTGGGTTGTGTGCAGTACAGAGCTGTTTCCAGTGCCAGCAGCTAGGAACAAAGCATACAATTCAGCATCCAGTGTATAGAAAACGCAAGGTGGGTATGTTTAGACATCATCTTATGCTGAAATGACACTGAGGCCTGGTCTACAGTATGAGTTTAATTCGAATTTAGCAGCGTTAAATCTAATTAACCCTGCACCCGTCCACACAACGAAGCCATTTATTTCGAAATAAAGGGCTCTTAAAATCGATTTCTGTACTCCTCCCCGACGAGCGGAGTAGCGCCAAAATTGATATTGTCATTTCGAATTAGGGTTAGTGTGGCCGCAATTCGATGGTATTGGCCTCCGGGAGCTATCCCACAGTGCACCATTGTGACCGCTCTGGACAGCAATCTGAACTCGGATGCACTGGCCAGGTAGACAGGAAAAGCCCCGCAAACATTTGAATTTCATTTCCTGTTTGCCCAGCACAAGAGAGATTAGGTGACCACAGAGAGCTCATCAGCACAGATAACCATGCAGGCCGATAATCAAAAAAGAGCACCAGCATGGACCGTACGGGAGGTACTGGATCTGATCGCTATATGGGGAGAGGATTCAGTGCTAGCAGAACTTCGTTCGAAAAGACGAAATGCCAAAACTTCTGAAAAAATCTCCAAGGGCATGATGGAGAGAGGCCACAATAGGGACTCAGAGCAGTGCCGCGTGAAAGTCAAGGGGCTCAGACAAGCCTATCAGAAAACAAAGGAGGCAAACGGTCGCTCCGGGTCAGAGCCGCAGACATGCTGCTTCTACGCTGAGCTGCATGCAATTCTAGGGGGGGCCGCCACCACTACCCCACCTCTGACCGTGGAGTCCGAGGCGGGGGTAATCTCATCAGCCACACCTGAGGATTCTGCGGACGGGGAAGAGGAGGAGGAGCTTGCAGAGAGCACCCAGCACTCCGTTCTCCCCAACAGCCAGGATCTTTTTCTCAGCCTGACTGAAGTACCCTCCCAAGCCAGTACCCAAGACCATGACCCCATGGAAGGGACCTCAGGTGAGTTTACCTTTTAAAATATAAAACATGGTTTAAAAGCAAGCGTTTTTTAATGATTAATTTGCCCTGAGGACTTGGGATGCATTCGCGGCCAGTACAGCTACTGGAAAAGTCTGTTAACGTGTCTGGGGATGGAGCGGAAATCCTCCAGGGACATCTCCATGAAGCTCTCCTGGAGGTACTCCAAAAGCCTTTGCAGAAGGTTTCTGGGCAGTGCAGCCTTATTCCGTCCTCCATGGTAGGACACTTGACCACGCCATGCTAGTAGCAAGTAATCTGGTATCATTGCATGACAAAGCCTGGCAGCGTATGGTCCCGGTGTTTGCTGGCATTCAAGCAACATCCGTTCTTTATCTCGCTGTGTAATCCTCAGGAGAGTGATATCGCTCATGGTAACCTGGTTGAAATATGGGAATTTAATTAAGGGGACAGAGGTGGCTGTTCCTACTGGGCTGTTTGCCTGTGGCTGAAAAGAAATCCTTCCCTGCAGTTAGCCAAGCGCGGGTGGGGGGGGGGGATTGGCGCTGAGCTTTTTGCCTTTGGCTAGCAGGGATCTTCCCTGATACCAGCCACGCGGTGGGGGGAGGGGTACAGCGATCATCCCAGATAATTCATGGTGGGGGCGGGGTGTTAGTTTGGTTTCTGCAGGGATCTTCCCTGATACCAGCCACGCGGTGGGGGGAGGGATAAAGAGATCATCCCAGAGAATTGGATGGGGTGGGGGGGGGGTTAGTTTGTTTTCTGCTGCTGAAGGTTAACAGGAAAACCGCAGCACTCAACGGGCTTTGCTTGGTATGTGGGAAAGGAGGGCGCAGAAGCCGAAAGACAATGGCTTACCATGGCCGCATGCAAACTGAATTCTGTTGCCCGGACCTGCGTCTGTGATCTCTAACACCAAAGCCGCAGGCACTCAATATTAAGATGGAAAATGCGACCTTGTACTGAAATCACATGTGCCATGTAATGTGAATAGTGTTGTTCACCATGAAAGAGTATAAGCATTGTTCTGTAAAATGTATCATTTTAAAAACTTCTCTCCTTTTTTTCATCCCTCCAGCAGCTGCAAATTTTTGAAGCCTCCCTCCTCCGTCCCGAAGGCTATCTCAGATAAGGTGGCGGAGAAAGAGGACGCGAGATGAGATGTTCTCGGAAATAATGGCATGCACCCGCAATGAAAGAGCTCATTTGAATGAGTGGAAGGACACGGAATCTAAGTACATGAAAGATGCCAGTGAACTTGAGGTCATGAGGGACGCTCGAGATGAGAGGTGGCAGGCTGCAACGCTGGGGCTGCTGCGTGATCAAACGGACATGCTCCAGCGTCTGGTGGAGCTTCAGGAACGGCAGCAGGATAACAGACTGCCGCTGCAGCCGCTGTATAACCTCCCTCCCCCCTCACCATGTTCCATAGCCTCCTCACCCAGACATGTAAGAACGCGGGGGCGGGGGAGGCTCCGTGCACCCTCCCACTCCACCCCAGTGGACAGCCCAACCAAAAGGCTGTCATTATATTGAATTTTTTCAGTGGCCTTTTACTTCCCTCCTATCCTCCTCCCAAACCTCACCCAGGTTACCTTGTCGGTTCTCTCCCTATGTTTATAATCAATTAATAAAGAATACATGATTTTTAAATGATAGTGACTTTATTTCCTTTAAAAGCGAGCTGTGATTTAAGGGGGGAGGGTGGTTTGCTTACAGGGAATGAGTCAATCAAGGGGGCGGGTTTTCAACAAACAGAACTTTCACACCGTAGCCTGGCCAGTCATGAAACTGGTTTTCAAAGCTTCTCTGATGCGCAGCGCTTCCTGGTGTGATCTTCTAATCGCCCTGGTGTCTGGCTGCACATAATCAGCAGCCAGGCGATTTGCCTCAGCCTCCCACCCTGCCATAAAGGTCTCCCCCTTACTCTCACAGAGATTGTGGAGCACACAGCAAGCAGAAATAACAATGGGGAGATTTCTTTGGCTGAGGTCTGAACGAGTCAGTAACGAGCGCCAGCAACCTTTTAAACGGCCAAATGCACATTCCACCACCATTCTGCACTTGCTCAGCCTGTAGTTGAACAGCTCCTGACTCCTGTCCAGGCTGCCTGTGTATGGCTTCATGAACCATGGCATTAAGGGGTAGGCTGGGTCCCCAAGAATAACTATTGGCATTTCAACATCCCCAACGGTTATTTTCTGGTCTGGGAAGAAAGTCCCTTGCTGCAGCCGTTTAAACAGAGTAGTGTTCCTGAAGACGCGAGCGTCATGAACCTTTCCCGGCCAGCCCACGTTGATGTTGGTGAAACGTCCCTTGTGATCCACAAGTGCTTGCAGCACCATTGAAAAGTACCCCTTGCGGTTTATGTACTGGGTACCCTGGTGCTCCGGTGCCAAGATAGGGATATGGGTTCCATCTATCGCCCCACCACAGTTAGGGAATCCCATTGCAGCAAAGCCATCCACTATGACCTGCACATTTCCCAGAGTCACTACCTTTCGTAGCGGCAGCTCAGTGATTGCTTTGGCTACTTGCATCACAGCAGCCCCCACAGTAGATTTGCCCACTCCAAATTGATTCCCGACTGAACGGTAGCTGTCTGGCGTTGCAAGCTTCCACAGGGCTATCGCCACTCGCTTCTCAACTGTGAGGGCTGCTCTCATCTTGGTATTCTGGCGCTTCAGGGCAGGGGAAAGCAAGTCACATAGTTCCATGAAAGTGCCCTTACGCATGTGAAAGTTTCTCAGCCACTGGGAATCGTCCCACACCTGCAACACTACGCAGTCCCACCAGTCTGTGCTTGTTTCCCAGGCCCAGAATCGGCGTTCCACAGCTATAACCTGCCCCATTAACAGCATGATCTCCAAAGCACTGGGTCCCGTGGTTCGATAGAATTCCATGTCCATATCCTCATCACTCTCACCGCCGCGCTGCCGTAGCCTACTTCTCGCCGCCTGGTTTTGCAGGTTCTGGTTCCGCATAAACTGCACGATAACGCGTGAGGTGTTTACAATGTTCATGACTGCTGTCTTGAGCTGAGCGGGCTCCATGCTTGCCGTGGTATGGCGTCTGCACTGTTCACCCAGGAAAAAGGCGCGAAACGGTTGTCTGCCGTTGCTTCCCTGGAGAGGGGGGAGGATGTACCCAGAACCACCCGCGACAATGTTTTTGGCCCCATCAGGCATTGGGATCTCAACCCAGAATTCCAATGGGCAGAGGAGACTGCGGGAACTATGGGATAGCTATGGGATAGCTACCCACAGTGCAACGCTCCAGAAATCGACGCTAGCCCCGGTACATGGACGCACACTGCCGAATTAATGTGCTTAGTGTGGCCGCATACATTCAACTTTATACAATCTGTTTCCAAAATTCAAATTATATAAATTCGGATTAATCCCGTAGTGTAGACATACCCTCAGAATCAAGTCCATCCAGTGAGGGACTGTTTCAACACACAGGGATGGATGAAGGAGTTGGGTTCAGTTATGCAGTAGCTACCAATGCAATGTGCTGTGTAAGCCCAAATGTCAGGGGTGCTGGAACAATTTTCATAATGGGGTGCTGAGAGCCATTGAACCAAACTGTAAACCCTGGATATGATGGAAACCATGTCAAGCCAGGGGATGCAATTAGCAGCACCCCTAGTTCCAGCACTTATGCCAAATATAATTTGATGTGCAAACAGTGTGACCTCAATTGTCTAAAAGGCTGTTTCTCCATGTCCATATATGAACTTAATTTAATTATGTTAGAGTGACTCTAATAATTGATATTTAGCTGTCAGGAAAATGTGGAAGAGGAAGCCCTTATTTCATGATGAATGTTTGTAGATTTGTTCTCTGCTTGTTTTTCTTAAACCTCAAAACACAGCAAACAAACATCTGTGTATGCAAAACCCCCCCAAAAGTACCCAATCCCACTCGTTCCTGCTGTTTGACCTGGAATGGAATAGGTATCACATGAGTGGGTCTGATTTTAAGTTAATAAAAGGACTAGTGAAGAAAAAAATAATTATTATTGAGGGAAAGTTTCCTTCCATGAAGGGGTGGTTGAAATATTAGCGCAAACAGTCCAAGTCTGAAGCAAGTAATAGAAGTAATCTTAATAAGCTGGATATTTTGGTAAGGTAAGGAATGCTCACCAAAAGGAGTGCAGCTGCTAACTTGGTCATAGATTTCTGTGATAAAACAGTTTGGATTTCTTATTTGTAAGTTACTAGCTAAGCTCTCTCCACCTGATGTGGGTCAGAAGAAGCTGGTGTTTGGGGGTTATATAACTCAGTATAGAACATGTTTCTTCTCTTTTCCTGCTAGTTTATCAGTTGACCACCTGAGAAGGGGGGAAAAAACTTAATTAGTTTCTAAGGCTATGGCTACACTGGCACTTTACAGCGCTGCAACTTTCTCGCTCAGGGGTGTGAAAAAACACCCACCTGAGCACAGCAAGTTACAGCACTGTAAAGCGCCAGTGTAAACAGTGCCCCAGCCTCGTGGAGGTGGAATACCTGCAACGCTGGGAGACCTCTCTCCCAGCGCTGGCACGCGACCACCCTCGCACTTCAAAGCGCTGCTGCGGGAGCGCTCTCGCAGCAGCACTTTGAAGTTTCGAGTGTCGCCACAGCCTAAGACGTGCACATGAAGACTAGAGGTGGGTAAAAACCAGGGTAGCTTTCGTTTTGCCAAATAACCCGTCGCCAGTTAGGCTTTGGTTTTATGAAACCAAAATCAAAGCTAGAAGTTGTTCCTATCTGGATATTACTGTTACATAGGATTGGACTAGCAATTCATGGAAGATACTTGCATGTAGAGAGCAAGTGCTGAAACAAAGGAATTGACTACGAGTTTCAAACATAAATCTCTCTCTGTGTGCCTGTTTAACTGTGGGTGAAACTTTTCACCTATGATGGTTAGCAGACACAATTAAGGTGTCCTGTATCTAATTTTCAGGGGCAGTCAGGTACTTGGAAGTTCAGGTGACCTTAAACTGCATCACCAGTTATTTTTATCCACAAAGTTGTGGGCACAAAAATAAAGATCCCGTTAAGGTGGGGCTGAAAATTTGGACTATAATGTGTTTATTCTGAATTAAAGAGCCATCCAGTCTCCAGCACCGTGGCCTTTGCATATCAATTGCAATCAAAGTATGATGGATCAAAGAGATTAAATAATTTTCTTTTTCCCACTCCAAGATTAATCTGAATAATCACACCTTTTATTTTTATGAGACTGTGATGGGGCAAGGCCAGATGGCTATAGAAAAGTAGTGGGAGACAGATATATTAGCCCCAGGCTAAACAAATCCCTGGTACCAGGATAAGTAAATGGCAGCTGCTCCAGGTCAATTAAGAGCTTTCCAGAAGGCAGGGAGGACGTTAGGTTGATTGGGACACCTGAAGCCAATCAGGGGCTGGCTGAAACTAGTTAAAAGCCTCCGAGTTAGGTGGGTGCGCATGCATAGGCACCGACTCCGTGGGTGCTCTGGGGCTGGAGCACCCACGGAAAAAAATTGGCGGGTGCTCAGCACCCACTGGCAGCTCCCCGCCCCCCCTGCTCCAGCTTACCTCTGCCTCCTCCATGAGCACGCTACCGCATCCTGCTTCTCCTCCCTCCCTCCCAGCGCTTGCGCCGCGAAACAGCTGATTCGCGGGGCAGGGAGGGAGAGGGGATGTGGGGGAACGCAGCGCGCTGGGGGAAGAGGCGGGGCCGGGGCAGGGATTTGGGGAAGGGATCCAATGGGGCAGGGAGGGGGCGGAGTTAGCGCGGGGATTTTGGAATGGGGGCCGGGGCAGGGAAAGGGTGGAATTGGGGTGGGGAAAGGGGCGGGGAGCGCGGGCACCCACCCGCGCCCGAGAAAGTTGGCGCCTATGCGCGCATGTCAGGAGCTGTGAGAAGAAGTTGCGCTGTGGGAGAGACTGAGCTGTACACACCATATTAGGCACAAGGAGGGAGGCCCTGAGGTAAAGGTGAAGTGGAGCTTGAGGAAGTGGGGGCTGCTGTGGGGAAGTAGCCCAGGGAATTGTACGTGTCCTGTTCCTAAAAGGTCAGCTACCATAGTTGATACTATTAGGGTCCCTGGGCTGGAGCCCGGAGTAGAGGGTGGGCCGGGCTCCCCCGCCCCTTTGCCCCCCTGATTAATTACTGAGACTGGGAGACAACAGAGACTGTGCAAAGGAGGATAGCTTCTCCTCACCTCCCTCGCTGGCTTATGATGAAAATGGCTCAGTAGACTGTGACCCTTGTCTCTAGAGAGAGAAGGGTTAAGTGGAGGGTCACAGTGAGCCTCTGAGGCTAGCGAAATCCGCCAGGAAATGCAGGACCCACGGAGACAAGGACAGAGCTTTGTCAGAGAGACCTTATGGAAAACTTCATATTTGGAATACAGGAAATGAGAATACAAATTTAACATTCCTTAATAAACACCAAACAGATTAATTTATTAGCATTTAATTTAATATCAGACTTTAGGCTACAATGACAGGCTAAATAAGAAAATATCTGTTTTACTTAAACTTGCCTGTTCTTGTGAAACTTTTACTGGGTGTCGGAAAACTGTCCAGAGAACACTAGGGAAACAAGGAGGAGTGGTCAGGGATCCTTCATAGCGATAATACTCATCCAGTTGGTCAGGAAGCAGTTCTTGGATGTCAAAACCTGGGACTAGAGCTACCTGGTCTGAAAGAGAGGATCCATGTTAATTCCGTATTCTTAATCACACTTCTCTCAATGCTAATCTACTTTGCATCATTATGACTTTCTACTGCATTGGTTTGCTGTATATCTCTGCACAGGTGAGTCCCAGTAGCGCAAATTTGTTTTCAGCAAACATTCTGATCTCAATGGAAAAGGAAAAAATTTACTTTGATAGATGCTAGACCCAATTTAATATAGAAATGTAGTTCATTAAACCACTTCTAAATTTGTTCTTATACAAGTCTGACATGTTACACCTGGATACCAAACCAGGGTTGTGATTAATGAGAAAAGTTGCTCTTTACTATTGAGTGCGCTCTGCTCAGGAGCACTACTGAATGAATTTCTTTATAAGCAATGCAGACAACTACCCAATATTAGACATTTATGGTTTGTCTACACTGCAATCAGAGGTGTGATTGCAGCTTTGATAGGTGTATCTGTGCTAGCTTTAATTTAGCTAGCACAGCTAAAACTAGCAGAGAGGACGTGCTTGTGCAGGCTTCAGCACCAAGCTGTACAAGTACACCAAGGAGCCTGAGTATGTACTCAAGTTGCTAACCTGCGCTGAAGCTCATGCTGCCACATCTTCACTGCTATTTTTAGCTGTGCTAGCTAGATTAAAGCTAGCATGGATATACCAAACCATGCTGCAATCACACCTCCAACCACAGTGTAGACCTATGTGTAGAGGACTCGGGTTTGAAATACGCTGTCTGCTATTCATAATGGTTTGAGTGTTTTTGCCACTCCGCTGAAGATTTTCTTGTCAACACCATATTTCTATACATCTCGTCAACATTGTCTGCATTTTACTGCATCCACCAACAGCTTTTTTTAAAAAGATACCGGAGGAAAAAATCCGGTGAGTTCTGACCATTTGTTTACTGGCAGTGAGCACACCAGTGATCATTATTTGCATAAATCAGCTATCTGCATACTAAATTGAGGGGCAAGTAACCAAAGTAACAGCACATGCAAGTCATACAACCCAGTTAGGAACATGTGATACTAATGCACAGAAGTTTACCTCAAGCTAGCTGTATGATGCACTTAAGAGGAGTGCACTGTACTTGGAACCGTTCTGAAGCAGTTTTGACAAAAGCATGACATGCCCTGCATGAATCCCATCAGTGATAAGGTTCTGATACATTCAGCCACTGTTGATCTTTTGCATACAACAGCCACTCACCTTTGTATTTCACGTTCTGGAAATGACTGAAGATCTTCTCATAGGATGGATTGAATGGGCCTATCTGTAACAAATAGACTGTTAACAGCTGTCCAGGTAATCAGGGCTCTGTATGCATAATCTTAAATTCTTCAGACAACTGATGTTCAACATTTGATTGACAGTGTCACCTTTTAGTGAAATTTTCCATCCAACAACACCAATACTGATGTAATAACATAGGCTGATGTAGAAATTAAGGCTGTGCCCTGGGATTGTTTTGTTTAGTCTGTCCCCTCCTTACTCTCCATTTCAATACACTCTTACTCTCTAAAATTATAAGCTGCAGCCTGGGGGTATTTGATTTCTTTATCACACTACACAATATTAAATTGTCATAATTATGGCTTATCAGTTGTGGCTTATTATCCAATATGATGAATTGGAAAGTTAAAGCCTTAAATAACTAAAGTGTTCAAGGAGAAATATTTTGCCTTAAATCAGTTCAATGATTATTGTATGTGTTAATTAAATTGAGCTGTATACTAATGCTTACAGAATAACTGGGTGAAATTTAAAGGCCTGTTACAAACAGGAGGTCAGACTAGATCAGGGGTCTCAAACATGCCGCATGCGGCCCACAAGGCTATTTCCTGCGGCCCGTGCCTCCCCTCCCGGCCTACCTCCAGGCCAGGGGTGGGCAAACTACACCCGTGGGATTGCCCCCCTCGACCCCCGCGCCGCTCCCTGAAGCGGCTGGCATCACGTCCCTGTGGCCGGGGGGAGGGCGGGGGGGGGAGCAGAGGGCCCCGTGTGTTGCCCTGGTTTCCAGGCACTGACCCCCCGCAGCTCCCATTGGCTGGGAACAGGGAACCGCGGCCAATGGGAGCTTTGGGGGAGGTATCTAGAGGAGCGGCAAGCAGCGCGCTGAGCCCTGCATCCCCCCTCCCCCAGGGGCCGCAGGGACATGGTTCCAACTGCTTCGCGGAGCGGGGCTGTGGCCAGGGTAGGCAGGGAAGCAGGCAGCCTGCCCTGGCCCTGGTGTGTGCCGCTGCCATCCCGGAGCCGCTTTAGGTAAGCAGCTCTGGGCCAGAGCCCGAAGCCCTCCTGCCCCCTGTCCCCCAACTCCCTGCCCTGAGCCCCCTGCCAGCACCCCAATCCCCTGCCCTGAGCCCCCGCCGCATCCCACATCCCTCCTGCACCCCAACTCCCTGCCCTGAGCCTCCTGCCTGAACCCCAACCCCCTGCTTCACCCTGAGCCCCCTACTGCATCCCACACCCCTGCTGCACCCCAACCCCCTGCCCTGAGCCCCCTGTCTGAACCCCAACCCTCTGCCACACCCCGCACTCCCTTCTGCACCCTACACCCCAACCCCCTGCCGCACCCCTCACCCCTCCTGCAGCCCGCACCCCGACCCCCTACCCTGATCCCCTTGCCGCACCCTGCACCCCGACCCCTTGCCGCACCCCTCACCCGTCCTGCACCCCACACCCCAACTCCCAGCCCTGAGCCCCCACCACACCCCTCTTGCACCCTTGGGGGCAGGGAGGGGGTGGAGTTGGGGTGGGGACTTCGGGGAAGGGGTTGGAATGGGGGCAGGGAAGAGGCGGGGCAGGGGCGGGGCCTCATGGAAGGGGTGGAGTGGGGGCAGGGCCGGGGGCAGCGAGGGGGTGTGTGTCAGTGATGCGGCCCTCGGGACAGTGAACTAGTCCTCATGTGGCCTTCCTGGTCATTTGAGTTTGAGACCCCTGGACTAGATGATCTAATAGTCCCTTCTGCCCTTGGACTCAATGAATAACAGTAGTCTTAAACTAAGTAACCAGTAATATCTGACTGTAGGATAAATTTCCAAAGCATATAGCTGCACAACTCTCATTAGCTGAAACTCCACACAGTTCTTCATAAAATGTAACCTCTTAGGGTCTCATCTTGCAATCCTTTATATAGCCAGGATTGGTCCCTTACTGCAGAACAGCATTATGGAGCAGAAGACTTCAGACCAGGAAGGTTTTAGATGAAGCCTACATTCTTTATTCTGTAACACACCTTATGGTGTGTGTTTGGAAAAACAGGTAGCCTTTTAGTGGCTAGCCTGTTGGGCAAACAAATGGAAGTCTGTTTCCTTTAAGAACTTTATACATCCTAATTCTACACTGACAGGCTTCTCAGATCATGCATAGGTTTCTAGTCATAGCCATAGGTAGCATATTTTGGGTTCTCTGTTGCCAACCAGAAATTGTTAGTCTGCTGCTTGCAATTCAAAATAAAGAATGACACTGTTAAAAGGGCAGGACCAGTGGTGAATGTCATAACTCTAATATCCAATAAGAGACTTACTGCTATAGCTTCTAATCAACGCCTGTTTTCTTAATAATTTGGAGCTGATTCTCAGCAACTCATCTGGCAACCAGAAAAAATTGTATCCTAAGTTCAACTTTGAAAGCCACCATGTTTCTGAAGTTCTCAGATGGAAATAAGTAAATAATGTTAAATTTGGAGATGTCCTTATTTGATTTTTAAGCAGCATTATATAATAAGCATTTTGTAGAAAAACCAGAAGCCTTCTGACAGATAGTTGGGTTTTCAAAGAAACAAAACTTTTCTCAGAAAGTGTCTGCATTCCTTGAACACTTTCAGGTTTTCAATGGAAAACTGAAAGTTTTTGGGTTTTCAATTTTGTTGACAAAAAGTCAAAATGTTCGTCGGGGGAAAACACATTTTCCAATCCGCTCTACTGTGAAGTTCATTAGTTGAGTGCTGAGTTTATAGCTAGCCTTTTTTGGTCACATTTACAGAAAGTAATTGGAAATGTTTGCCTGGCAGAGTTACAGGAGGTTCCATCAGATTGCTGACTGGGTTATTTAATTGCCTCTGTGTCAAGGTTAGGTGTGGAAATCTGTCCCCCTGCTGTGTTGAAAGGTGCACTAATTTACTTGTCTCATAATTTTTTTGTCACCACCAGCTTCATTGATACAAAGGAACTGTGTGCCTGTGAAGTACTAGTTGTGAAGGGTATGGTCATATCCTAGTCTTCAATAATTAATTACCTGTGCCAGGGTTCTGCCAGCCTGGTGACCCCTGCTGTGTTAAAAAGTGTTCTGTGCTACATATAAAACTGCCTTTACTATCTGGGACTATTCAAATGTGCAGACTTGATCTTCACTTTCTACTATCATTTGTGAGAAACTCACCTGCTCCTTAGTCTGTAGAAAGCAAATTCAAAAGGATATGAACATGCCTGATGTTATTTCATTTTAAAATTGGAGGGAACTCAATCTTTTCTCCTGCACTATACACCTAGTTCACAGAAATATAACTGAGGGCAGAATCTGACCCTATATGTGTGTGTAGGTGGAGTGGAAGAGAGAGACCATATAGCCAGACATGCCAATATTGATGGTCTCCAAGTTAATCCCAGCCATCTAATTGTACTTAAAGCTTACAGATGCTTTAGTTATAGCATTATTAAATATGAAAAAAGCACAAGGCATGCATCTTACCTCAATGAGAATAGCCAAAACTGCTAGCCCATCTGATTTGTCTATTGCTGCTGTTACATCGGGATATTTGTCAGAGTTATAATGTACAATATGAAGCTACAGAGAGGAAGAAGTAATGGTATTATCACCTCTGGCTCATGGTAGCATTTCTGTTGTCATAAAACAATCCAGGGCCCTAGACACCACAACATAAGGCCTCCCAGCACCTTCCCCTTTAGCAGTGGCAGGAGGCCCCCTCCCCTTTCAGCGAAGCAAAGGCAGTGTTATGGTGCTGCCTTCTTTCACCCATGATTGGCGGGGATCTCCTCTCCTCCACAGAGAGGCAGAGTCAACAGCAGGTGTTCTCCCCACCCCCAGTACTTGCCACATAATCAAGGTATATCTTCTTGGGTGGGTATGATGGGCCCCCTGTACTCTTCTCCTGTTGCACAGAGTCCTCTGCTGGGGTGGATTTGGTGGAAACCAGAGCAGTGGCTCTTGGGGTTAACCCCCATTGAGACTCATGGTACAGTTCACCCCTTTAAGAGGTATTGTTTCAGATTGCCTGCAGACTCAGGCAGATGTCACTGCATCAATTACCCTGGATTACATTTTCAAGCTTTTCTTTGTGACCACGAGGACTAGAAACTTTCTTTTATTTAAATTAAAGATGAGATTGTGATCTAATCACACAGTGCCAGAAGTTACTGCCTTCGGCATGGGCCTGTGGTGTCTATGCCTCATACTGACCCCAAGACTGGTCATGGAGAGGTCAAGTCATTTTAAAATAATCCCAGACCAAACTTGAAATGGCCAAGTGAACACACTTACATGCACATCAATCATGCATAAAAATTCACGCTGAATTTTTTTTATTGTACTTTAATTACATTAAAACACCTGGCCTGTGATTCTTTGTCATCAGAAATTGAACAGTTTTAGAACTGCCTTGTAAAGTTAAATATTTTGAACAAGAAATGTTAACATGCTGAAACTGACGCTGTCAGTGTGGAAATATAAATAAATAGGCTGCAAGAGAGACTTAGTTACACAGCTGGAATGGGGTCTGCCAACAGCACCGTTATTTGTGCTTATTGGAGAACTACAAAAAGAACATGGAAGAGAAGGGTATTTAAAATTAAGTCCTCTAAATACCCATGTTTAACAAATATTCTGATTTTTTTATAATCACTTTTTAAAACAGTTGCAAAAAAGGTTTTGGACCCACTTTTGTACCATTAAAGTAGATGGAAAAATTCTAATAGTTCAGGATCAGGCACTCGCATAGTAATTTGCAAGAGAGAACAACTGCATGACAGGTGACAGTACTTAGTCTCTCAGTTCACAGTGATTCGGGAACATAGAAATCTAATACTGAATTTTGATATGCTTACTGTTTTCAAAAAAGAGTCAAGAATTTAGTGTAAATAGTGTGTTCAGTTTATTGTTTCTAAGGTTCCCAGAGACCTCATGTATAGGTACCTATCAATTAAAGATTATTAGTATTAACAAAATCATGTTCTGGAAGCTGATGCTTGGTTTGGTCTTGCTTGATGGATCACTCTTTAACAATCTGGAAATTTTCCACTAAAACATCAGATGAGCATTGGGAATTCTCTGATGGAAGCCTGACTTACTAAGCTTTCCCTTGGGCTTTGCTACGTACCTTACACTACTTTCCTGTCCCATATGGAACATCATCTATTACATTGTTACTATATAATATTATGCAAACTCTTCAGCAGTTATGCAATTAACTTGCTTAACACGAGCATTTAGTGTGTTAATTGGATAATATTGTGGTTTGGCTCTCTGATGTAGTCTTGGATAGCTGAGCAAGTCACCAGCTGTGCAGTTATTTCATGTTAAAGTATGTGAATTAAGCCAAAACAAGACTGGCTACACCCTTGGTTGCTACATGTAGGAAATAGGCAGTTATAAATTTTCTTTTCTTTTGCAGCAATATAAATCCAGAGGAATTCTGTTGACGTCAATGGAGTTAATCTTGAGTCATGCTGGTGTTAGTGTGAGAGGATTCTGGCCTCATATCTCCTCCTGTCCACCCTAGGGCCAAACAGCATTGTTCTGTGCCAGTCCCAAAGCTATTTATTACAAACCAGAAAATTTCCTGGTAGAAGTCTTATGAATTACCATATGAATGAAGTGGCTTGAGATAGGCATTAGCTCCCCACCCTGACAACAACAAAAAAAACTACCAGAACAAAGCACTGCATTGTACATACAATTCTCCCCATGGGGAGAAGATGAGAGAACAAATCACACATGAGAGGTTAGTCACATTGCTTAATGCACTACTGTAAAGTGCCCAGCTATTACAGTGATGAGCATGGTATAAGAACCTATATTGAATAGAGTAGGCAGAAGCACCAAAGATTCTAGCACTCCTGAATTTAAATTTAGGAATGCAAGTGAAGATACTGAGGTATAGTTGTATCTCGGAAATTGGAAGGTTAAATTCCTTTTAGAAACAAGTCTCCTTAACCAGCTAACATATACATCCAACTGAATGAGCTTTCATTAATGAATTATGTTTGACTGGATTTCTCCAACTTCACCCTTGTGATGACTTGGTGTATGTAGAGCAGGGATTTAAGGTAACAGACAAACTTATTCTGAAAAATATTTGAACTGCACAGAACCCCTTCCCACAGCCACTGAAGAAGGGGAAGTCTCCACTGTTGGAGTTAGCCTGTGAGAAAGAAATGGCCTTTCCAATAGCTTCAGCAAAGGGTATGGGTATTGTCCTTAGCCTAGAATTGTACCATTAATCCTACTTCAATTTCAGATAGACTTGTAATTACTCTGGGATTATAAATTGAATAAATTGAGCATATAATTATTCATTGCTAAATCCAGTGTTGATTACTAAAATAGATTTCCATGAATTGTGCTGTATGCATTTAGAACTGATTGTCACCATTACAGACCCCTCCTGGTCTGTGCAAATGCACCCTCTCTCAGGCCTCAAGCCATCACCGCTCTTGGGGTGGGTTCATGCAATTCTCCCACTCTCAGATCAGGCCTTGGACTGCCATTCCCAGGTGCTAACTGCGATTACCTCAGCAGGCCTGTTTTATAGTTCATAGCTGCAGGTCTGTTAATGTCAAGAACACTGACGGTGGTATGCAGTAATCAGACAGCCTTCTTAAAGCCGAGCATTATTTATTTAGAACAAAACCACTGCAGAGAAAAAGATCTTAAAACAATAACAGATTATGCACATGTCTAGTTTACCAGGTGCCTGCCCATCTGAGCAGTCAGGATTCTGGTAGGTCTAAGCATCCTACAGGCACTCAAGGACCGCTACAGGCTATGTGATGGTTTCATCCCATAACTCACCAATCATTTCTCCCCACTGCTTCAGGGAATGACTCCTTTACAAGCTGCTCAGTCTCTTCTCAGAGAATGTGTCAGTTTTAAACTGTTTTGTAGCTCTTTGATCTGTTAGTGTCCAGAACTGGCAAAACAACAGTGCAACTTCGGATTGGAACCTGGAACTAGGCCGTTTTCCTGTAATTGCCCCACAAATATTTTTGGAGTATGGCCTATCTAGATCCATTGCGTTGTTTCCCTGCTGTTTTTCCAACAGCCCCCTATTAAGCTAGACTAATACATTCATACAGGAAATTCTATTAAACCAATCTAACTATATAGAACCTTATGTTGCCGACCAGGACCCAGACACTATTCATGTAACGGTTACATAGCACTTCCACATCTGCTACACTGAACCCAAGCAGAACTGCACAGAGACTATTTGAGCTTGTGTCATGCAACAAAGAGCATAATTATACATTGTTACTTAAACAGTGCTCTGCATCATCTCTAGTCTCCAGTTGAATAGATAGGTGTTAAGCAGCAGAATTTAGAGTATCTGCATGGTACAAACATTTTAAGTTTACATGTACGCAAACCTCTAAGCAAAACACTTGGATCAATTTTGAAAAGCCAAACATTTTGATTCAATGCTTTCTCAGTGATTTAGCAGTTGGTGCTGCTTTTCAATATCTATTCCTAAATCAGTATGACAGAATCAGGAAAGGTAGAAGTGGAAAAGACCTACCAAATCATTCTTAGTCTGATGGATACATCTATATAAAAGCTATCACAAAGCATGTCAAAACAGTGAGATTAAGCCTCACAAAACACCTTTATTGCAGCTAATCACTATCCCCATTGTGGAGATATTGAGGTGCCAAGAGAATACATAACTTGCTTGAAGTTACAGAGCAAGTCAGTGTCAGTACTGAGAGTAGAACTCAGATCTCTTGATTCCCAGTGTCATGCTTTAGCAACAAAGCCATACCACTTACTGAGTCCAGCCTAAATCCAGAGCATCTTGTAGCATCTTGATATAGGATATATTAAATATTAAGAGCATAAGTGCTTAAATTAGTGCCTGTGTGCCTTCTTTGGCAGAATGTTCTTATACACAAGTGGTGAATACATCAACCACTGCCTATACAAATTTTAGCTTTGAAATAGTGGGAACTGTCTAACTTTCCCTTCCAGATTTCTCTGACTTGAGACCATCTTACCTCTGCTGCAAAATGCCTTCCACTGACTGTGTGCTCTGAGCCTTCTGGCTTGTTCCTGTTTCCCCAGTGTAGGTGAAGCTGAGTTGCCGTGTATTGGAAAGGGAGATTTCTGATGTGCATGGTAGGAAACAGACTCATTCTTACTGCAAGTAGACCAAAAAATATGGGAGAAGATTATATTGCTGTGTTGATGCACTTGGTTCACAGAACTATTGTGTCTGACTTTATTGGATTCAGAGTGACCCTGCCAGCAGGTAGGGGATCTTGGGGGACAACTACTGCACTGGTGGGGTGCAAAATAAACTATGAAGAAAATGTAAAAACAGGGAAAATTCAATAGTGAGGGGTATGGGGTTTGTTAAGGTAGACAATTGGGGAGGGGTTTCTTTTAGTAAATAGGATAGGGGGTTTCAATAGTGGGGTACAATACAGTTGGTAACCAATTCACACTGAAGTATAAATGTAACAGGTAGCTAACAGTTTTTATGTAAAGGGTGTGTCACAGCAGCATATAACCAACTAACAGTTATGGGTAAAATGTGTTAAATAACCAACAACTCTAGGTAAAAATATGTCACAGTGGTGTAAATGTAAAATGTGAGGGGTGTTAGAAAGGAAAAGGGTAACCAATGGGGGTTTATGCTAGACTTTAGTAATACAATTGAGGTTTGGCAGCAGTAGGAGCGGGGTGAGCACGTGTGGGAAGGGAGACCAAAGGCAGAGGTGCTGCGGAGGGAGATTTAAACTCAGGGAGACACAGAGAGCAGACAGGCTGCAAGTTTAAACAGCAGAGAGACTGCAACGAGTGACTGGGGAGCTCGGGGGGAGACACGGGCAAGTTCGGGGGGGGGGGTAGCGGGAAGACAGACTTAACCACAATTATACAGAACACAGCAAAATCTTATCTATGATCTAACTTAACCAAGACTACACAAATTAGTAACTAACAGAACACAATGCAACAATTTTTTAAACTTAACTTACAGAGCACAATACAAACAATTCTTTAAACCTAACTTAACCACAGCTATGCAAAATGAAATTACAACTTATCTGGACTAAGAACCTGATTCTAATAGGTGCACCTTACACTCCCTGCCACTTCTTTGATCGGGAGGGGGAGCAGTTCCAGAGGGCAGAGTGATGGGTGCCCAGGGTACAACCCGGGGGAGGGGGGGCGCTAGTGGTGGCCGCAGCAGTGGGGTGGCTGCAAGCCGGCAGCCCAGGATACAGTCCAGGAAGGCACAGCCTCGCAGCAGCACAGGCTTATTTCTAGCAGCAAAGGCGCTGCGGAGCCAGAAACAGATTACAGATACAGACCAAGGAGTTAGCTTGAGTCTGTCTACTGGGGAAACAAGGCCAGCAGCTAGGACAGAGGGAGTTTGCAAGAGAGAGTTCTTACCATTCCCCAGGACAGCAGCAAGCACAGAGACAGGAACGGCAGTAGCATCGGAGGATGGAGAGAGGACTCGATTCGCTTACAATAATCAGGAGATCTCCAGGCACAAATTCGTTGTTCGTGGGAGGGGAGTTTAAAAACGGGGGTACACTCAAAAACAAACGAGAGCGGGGAGAGGGCCCCCCAAAGACCCCTTGCTGATCAGACCAGGTGGCAAAGCAAGGACCTTCTCCGAGGTCTGATCAGAAAATGTCCAGCTTTAAAGGCAAACTCAGGCAGTTTCCCACCAGTACTTTTGATTGGCTCCTCTTGATACAGGGGAGGAGAGAAGGCAGGGAAAGGCTGCAGGTAAGCATAGGCATGCCTGGGCATGTTCTGAGCCACAGGTATGACTCATATGCTTAACTAGTTGGCCACTTCAGGTCTTGCATTTCTGGGCAGCGCCCCCCACACCGAGCCCGGGTCTGAACAAAGGAACCAAACAAAGAAGCAAGAAGCCCCCTCCCTAGGCAGAGCAATGGCTCCAGTTAGTCTGTACAAGCCATTCCTATGAATAGGGCTGTGACTTTAGTTAGCACAATGGCCGGGAGGGGCGGCCACACAGGACAAACAGAAAGGAGAGGGGGGAAAAGGAATGCAGCAGGGGGACAGCTGTAACAGACACAGAGAATTAGAATAGCAGAATAAACCATTCAGGCTCTTAACCCAGAATCCAGCACATGCCATATGTTATAGTATCTGGAGGATTATCATTTTTAGCAGTGTTTGGAACTCTCTAGGCAATTTAAGGGAGTCTAGAACAGGGATCGGCAACCTTTGGCACACAGCCCACCAGGGTAAGCACCCTGGCGGGACGGGCTAGTTTGTTTACCTGCTGCATCCGCAGGTTGGGCCGATCGTGGCTCCCACTGGCCGCAGTTCACCGCTCCAGGCCAATGGGGGCGGCGGGAAGCAGTGGCCAGCACATCCCTCAGCCTGCCAAAGGTTGCCGATCCCTGGTCTAGAACATTTCCCCCTTATATTCTTGTAGAATTTAATACATGGAATGTGAATTGACTGGGAGAGTTGTGTGAGCAGCTGTTTTCAGAAAACTATCCCCGATGACGCCAAGATCTCTTTCTTAAGTGATAATTGCAAATTTAGACCCCATCATTTTGTATGTATAGTTGGGATTATGTTTTGCAATGTATATTACTTTGCATTTAACAACAATGAATTTCATCTGCCGTTTTGTTGCCCAGTCACCCAATTTTGTGAGATCCCTTTGTAACTGTTCACAGTCTGCTTTGTATTTAACTATCCTGAGTAATTTCATATCATCTGCAAACTTTGCCACCTCACTGTTTACCCCTTTTTCCAGGTCATTTATGAATATGTTGAACAGAACTGATCCCAGTACAGTTCCTTGGGGGGCCTGGCTATTTACGGGTATGGTACAGAGCATGTTTATCCCACAGAAACAGTGAGAAAAGAGAGGCTTGCCTGTCAAGCTCCTTTTAACAAAGCATGCTGGGAAGGGGTGAAGTCTGAGGTATTTTATAATGCAGGGTTTTTTGACGCTTTGGCAGTACTGGAGAAGGATGTGCTGCAGGAGAGCCTTGCTGCTGTTCTCGTTTGTAAGTCTTTAAGTTGTTTCTAGAAAAAATTGTGGGGAATTGGCTTATAAGTATTCTACTTTGTGGAACTGAAATATTCTGAAGCTTTAAGAGATTGCTTCATCTCTGTTCTCATCCCTGTTGTTGTTGGTAGGGTATCTTGCTTTAACGCTACAGTGGAGGGCGGTAGGCGTGTGTGTAAGCTGATCCTAATGGTTATATATGTCTTTCTGTCTCACACTTAAGGAAGTTCTCTATCTTCATTCAAATAGTAGAGGCGTTTGCTGAAACTCCCAGGTTTGCTTGATTTTTGTCTTAAATTCAGTGAACCACTTTTTATCTTTCCAGTTAATTACAATATCTATTAAGGGTGACTTCATCCAGATTTACTGACTTTTCACTTCTTTCTAAACAAAGCTGCAAATTCTGTTCCTATTTCTGAGTATTTTAACCAAATTAATAAGAAAAACTTTTCACAAGCATAAGTTAATCTAAAGTGCAACAGCTATATATATGGTACACTGCTGTGTGTTTTATAATTACAAGTTTCTTTAGACAGTTATCCAAGATGTTTGTATTCTATTGCAAGGGCTTGGTCGATCACTGCCAATAATATAAGAAATGAAATATAAGTCCAGAAACTCTTTCTTTCAAATTCTCTTGCTGCACATTTGATTTCCTTACCTGAATGACCATTATTGGTCAACATAAAGTGGTCAGTGGAGGACACGTTGTAGCCTACAAGCTCTAAAGGTAAGAGAGTGGTATCATATTGGAGAATATCATTATGAAAATCTATTGGAGACTGGAATACTCCTCCACAAAACGGATACTTCTTGGGCCAAGTTGCCTCTCCATCAGGACCTGGGAATGTTAACAGAAGAGACAGGTTTATCAATCTTTGTTGTTGTCTTCATTGGTACTTTCCCAACATGCTAGCAACAACTGGTTTGGATAATATAAGAACTCCCCTGTTTCCCTGAATATTCACCCAAAACCCAGAACAGAATCTAACTGTCCTTTTCTCTATTTAAAATGGTGAGATAAACTGTTTCTCAGTTTCACACATTCAGTCTATTACTGGAAGGAGTGGGCCAAATTCCTGCAATCAAAGCTGTTCATGTAACTTCCTTGACTGAGTAGTTTGAGTTTGACCCATCATTACTAAGAAATTGTGGTGCAAAAAATGCTTATATATTAAGACTCAAATTCATTTAATTCTAATGGTAAATATACATTAATCTATGATTTTATTAGTCACTACATACATGAACTCGCATCTAGTCATCTCCACCCTCAAATAGGAAAAGCCTTCAGAGAACTTGACGTATATATGTAAATGATTCACTTCCATAGAAATAAACTATCTATAAGAACAGCCCCTTTTCTGAGGGATAGGATTTATCATAGGCAATGTGAGAACTAAAGGTGCCATGCCACCAGCTGGCATCTGCAGAAAGAAATCTGGGCTCCCAGGAACTGCACCTCCCGTAGCAGAGGGTGCAGTGTACTCATCCAGTGGCTACTATGGGGAAGGTCAGCTATGGACCCTCCCTGGCCCGTTTCAGACACCTAGGCACCAATGGGCAGAAGGAAAGAGACAAGAACTACACTTCTGGTGTGGAATCTGGCCAGCTGCTGCTTGGATGTGTGGTGGCAGAGGGGCATCTCTTATACTCTTGGGGATCCACGCAGATGCTGCCCAGAAGAGGCCCTATGCTTGGGTTGAATAGCCTCAAACTACTTGATTTGTCTCAGACATAATCTGTCATAATAATTTTGATGATCTCTTTCAAACATGCTCTACTGTTTGATTAAAAACATTTCATTTTTACAAGTAAACACCTCTTCTCTAAATGCTATAAAAGTAGTCTCTTTGTTGAGCCACTGCATTAGAACTCATACTTTGTACTCCATGCCATTGTTGTATTCTAGACTGAATATCCATTTTTAGGCAACTAAAATGGCAACAAGAGATAGACACATGAAGTGTGAGAGTCAGCTTGATTTGGTGGGTATGTCCTTCCTGAGAGTCATCAAAATGGGGTTGCTTTTGAAGCTCCAAGGGTGCCTGAAGCTACACTCTTTTCCTTGGCTCACTAGGAAGAGATATATGAAGTAATCACAGAACAAAAAGACTGGGAAAATCTTGTAGCTAAAAGGGAAAGCGCACTGACTCTTGATCAAGCCAGGTGTTCAGGCAGTGGGTCCAAGGGCCTGGAATATTTTACTAGAGTTCTCCAAAATGTCTGAAACTCTTACGGAAAGCTGATTTGATGATATGCACTGATTTTAGTTGTCTTGTCTTATCATTTTGTGTTGTAGCCAGGCAATTGCACTGACACTTTAAAAAGAAGTGCTAAAAATGTTTATTCACCGAAGCAGCACCATTAACTACCAAATCAAATCACTTACATACATGTTGGCAAGTTTGGGCCCTAACAGAGTATATTTTTTACCAGATATGTTATGTTTTAATTTTCTCCACTTTAGTGTCCACCCACTGAATCTTGTTGTACCTTTATCTGCTAAATCGAAGAGCCCTCTATTACCAAATTTCTGTTCCCCATATTGGTACTTATAGACTGTGAATAAGTCACCTCTCTTAATCCTCTCTTTGTTAAGCTAAACAGAGTGAGCAGCTTGACTATCACTATAAAACATGATTTCCAATCCTTTAATCATTCTTGTGGTGCTTCTCTGATCCCTCACCAACTTACCAATATCCTTCTTGAACTATGGGTGCCAGAATCTGACCTAGATCAGAACATTGATGTCAAAACTAGTTCAAATGTTTTAAAAAGGAAAACTAATGAATATGAAAATTATTGATAGATGCTGATGTTGTTAAGGTTCAGTGATCTGGGAGCTTGTCTTCCACAAATATAATCTAAATTGGATCTCACTTAGTGCTGGAGTAGCTTCTATCTTAGCTTTCATTTGACTGCAAATCCCTTTGATTCTTTATCTCCCAGATTTTCATGGCATATCTTAAACAGCATTTAAATTCTCTTTAGTGGGTTTGAGAGCTAATAAATAGTACACCGAAACTGTTGAAAGGTGACTGCTATCCGTCTTGCATGTGTTTTAGCAAAACACTGACCCATTCATCAGAACATAGAACAGAAATCTGAACTATGTACTATTTGTTTTGGCACTGGGTTATGGGAATACACACACTTTGAGGATATAACCCAGCTCATCAGGAAATAAGAATAATTGGCCTCTTGAGGTTGAGACTTGATGTGCAAGTCTTTATTAAGCTTTAGTGCAAGAAGTGAAACCTGTATTTCAACTTTTGTTAGATGTGACAGTGGCAAATATACTACAAAATCTGTTTAGTTTGTCTCTCTCCCGCAAATGTATGACATCACCTAAAGCACTTACACCAATTCTATCCTCAAGTGCCGTCCCTTTCACGTCAATACAAGTTCTTTTAGTCTAACAGAGTAGAATTCAGCCCTCTCTGTCTTATTCATGCATTTCAGATGCCATGGGCCTGATCCTGTAGTCACTATTCAGACAAAACTTCCAGGGTTCTCCCTTGCCTCTACACTACAAAACTTCATACCTGTTTTCCAGCACCAGTGCAGCTGTAGTTTAATGACTGACAGGGTGTACCAGGCATTTGTTGGCTTCTGCTGGAGGCCCTACCACCTTGGTGCACCCTGCCTGAAGGAGGTGTCCTTTTGGGGAAAAAGAGCACCAAGTTTAGTCCTTCCTGAGCTGCCTAGAGAGGCCACCAAGGATCAGTTGCAGGTGGAACCAATGAAAATCAGTCCTCAAGCAGCTAGATGAGCTAGGGCCAGGTGGCAGTCAGTTAGGGCCCAACAGGCAGAGTAAAAATGGATGTCTGCTTCCTTGAATCAGAGGCTAGATTTCTGTGTGGAGCTGGGACAGGGGAGGAAGGGTTGCCCCAGTCTTAACCCAAGAAGCCCGGCCCAAACTCTGACTGCACCTTGCTAAGGTATTGGGTTTCCAGGAAGACATTAATATCTTGTACCAAAAAGATTATGGCAGTCACGTGATTGCTAAATGGCTAGTCTTTAAAGATTAGTAAAACAGAAATCTGACTTCAGCCATTGGAAACCACATCATGAAGTGCAATACACTTTTTCAGACCTACTTTTTTGGAGGGATTGGGTTACTGGGGATTAGTAACTGGTCAGCAGTTGAGATTGGAGATCATTCTTTTTCTTGTAAAATATGCCAGTTACTGAGATTTTTAGGCACATCAATGAAATCAGGGTGGATGTGCACATTTCTGGTAAGCAAAGAGAATGACAGCCAAATGAGGATTAAACTACAGAGATTCTTGTCTATTTCCCCACATCGGCTTCAGCTAACTCATCAGCTTGTTTCCTTGTCCATAACCAGTTTTTCCAGGCATTGCAGGAACCCTGCATATTGTCATGTAGCCGTCCTTGTTTTAGTGCACCAGAACTCACTTGAAAGAGCTGGACTCTTGTCACACTTTGGCAGTTATGAAATTATGGTTTCCTTAGCAGATAAGCAATGGCGCTCTAAGGCACTTTTTAATTAACTCAGCTGTAACAGATTGTGTGAAACAGAGTTTGCCTTTGGTGGTCCAGATTGAACCCTGGCATATATGGGGGAAGTCACTGGAAGCTGTACCTGCATGTACTAGGGTTCAGTCCGGCTTGCTGTTGCATAAGGGACATCAGGGATGGACTCAAGGAATGAGTGATAAATTTACATGTTATTTAAATGCCAGACATTGCAGAACAGCTCTGCTGTTTTAGTACTCTTCCTTCTGGTGCAACGGATATGAAGAATAGGTTGCCACAGAGTGGGAATGGATTGCTGTGGAAATAGGAGTCCTATGTTGCAGAACAAGGGTCAAATTCAGAGGTAAATCTAGGGAGCCTGTCAACATGTATGTTGACGTAAACTTAAACTGATTTAGCACTTGTCTACAGCAAAAAAAAAAAAATCTTATGTTTGAAAATGGAGAGCCCTCAAATTAGATGACCTACTGTCCAGGGCTTTGCAGTCATGGTGGACCAGCACAAGCTGTGCTCAGCATTGTCTCCTAACACTGCCAATTGTGTTCAAATGTAAGATTCTATAATGTGGACAGGGCCCCTAGAAGGCCTAGTGTGACTGACTTAAATCTACTCAGGTTCAAGCCCATTTGTACACACAACCCTTACACATCACCTCCAAGTTTAGTCCACTGATCAAGGGTGTCTGTGAGCACTAGAGCAGGGAAAGAAAAGCAACTAACAGCAGAGTGTAAGAAGTTGCAATATAAGTTAGGGCCAGATTAAGGCTATGTCTTCACTACCCGCCGATCCGGCGGGTAGCAATCGGTCTATCGGGGATCGACTTACCGCGTCTAGTGAAGACGCGATAAAATCGATCCCTGATGGCTCTACCGTCGACTCCGGAAATCCACCGCGGCAAGAGGCGGTAGCAGAGTCGACGGCGGCGCGGCAGCGGTCGACTTGCCGCCGTCCTCACAGCCAGGTAAGTCGACCTAAAATACGCCACTTCAGCTACGCTATTCACGTAGCTGAAGTTGCGTATCTTAGGTCGACCCCCCGCTGTAGTGTAGACCCACCCTAAGGCATAGGTACTACTGGTTCGTGCTGAGAGCCCCAACTCCTGGGGTTGTGCTATTACAGTAAAATTGTAGTTTTCCAAATAGAAAGTTTCTAGCGCTCATAGTTCTGAAGAAAACTTCAAAACATGACAAGTGTAATCAATGTAGCGACGGCTGCAGCCAAAAGATAGCTCAGGAAGAGCGAGCTGTCCCATGCATCTCAATGGGTGATTATCCACAAGTCACTGCTCCCTACCTATGATATGATCTATACTATGATCGCAGAGGACTCTGGGTGTGGAAGAAGAGTGCAGTGATCTCATCTACCAGAGGAAGGTAGGGTGCTGTTACCATGTGAGAAAGGAGGCCCCTTGCTGCTGCCTCTGCCTCTGTGGGAGGAGAAGGGACCCCTGCCTCCACTGTTCCAGGTGCTGGAGGGTGAGGCCATGGGGTCTCCCTGTCATGGTGTCTTTAGGACCCCAGATTACTGTAGACCACCAGTCCTGTAGACCACCTCCTGTTCTAATGTACAACTTCTAGCTCCTGGTCATGCATTTCCTCACATTCAGTAAGTAGTCCTGAGTGAATGAGCGTAAGGAGATCTGACTTTGCCCTTGTGGCTGCATTACAAGAGAAGCGTGTAAGTAAAATATGATTAATAAAAATTACTTGAAACTATACTGATGCACAGCTTTGTAATGAGCTGAGCAACGCACACCCCAAAACTGGGGCTGCATGTTGGGGTTGTGCCATCTCCCTGCCCCCACTTTGTGACCTGCATACATACAATTGTAGCAACGAGACCCAAGAAGCCAAGCTGCAGTCACAAATGTGGTAACGTGCAGAAGCTCAGTGATGGGCATTATCTAGAGAGAAACCTGTTAAGTGGTCATCTTGGGGAACTGCCAAAAACAGCCTTTAACTAAAGGCCTAATAATTGTGCTAGAAACTTTAGGGATATTCTAACAAGGTCATCAAAGTTGCACATTTCCCACTTGAGGTGAGAGTTCTTAGCACAGGCTTCTGTGCACCTTGCTGAACTGAAGTAAACATATGGCAACAATAAAACTAAAGATTGTTCAGCTTTAATTAAAGTGTTGTTAATTTATGACACTTAAGGTTACTTGCAGTGGTACCCACTTCCCCTCCACATAGATGCACTAAAGTGCATTAATAACCTTGCTGGGATTCTTCTTTAATACTCTTGTGGAACACCAGCTAACTTTCTGCATTCTAGCCAGCTGTCCACCTTAAAGTAGTAATTCTGTATGTTCAATTTATATCCAGTACTCCTGATTAAGGAGGCAGAGGGCCAGCATACAAAGAGCACTGTGTCAATTGACTTTCAGCTTCTAGTGAGGAGCTGCAGAAGAATTGAAACAGTCACTTAAACCGTGGCCAAACTGCACTGCTGACAAAGGGGTCCTAGGCTATAAAAACACCTCTTTCCAAGGCTGGGGATGGAAACTATCACTGATTAAATCAGCCCTGTAATTCCAGTTTTCTAGCTGACGTTGAAACTGTTTTTGTAGCTGACACTTCTAGTTCTTCTCTTAACTCTCTGACCTTTACCATGGAAAGAGAAGTGGTCAAGGAAAGGCAAACACATAAGCACTAATGGGAAATGGTTTTTGGATAATAAGGCTTAATCTGTACAGCAGAGAGAAACACAAATTTGTTACTCAAATCAGACTATCCCTAGCTTCAGACCTCAATGCTGTGTAAAACTGACCACTCTTGGGACTTTAGGTCTGGCTATGCAGAGTGCTGGGCAGTGCAGAAGCCCAGTAGGACTAGAGCAGAAAAGTGACAGGGTATGTCTACATTGCAATTAGACACTCATGGAGGCCTGTGCCAGCTGACTTGGGCTGGCAGGGCTGTGGGGCTGTTTAACTGCGGTGTAGATGTTCAGGCTCAGGCTGCAGAGCCCAGGCTCCAACCTGAACATCTACACACAATTAAACAGCCCCCGAGCCCGAGTCAGCTAGCACGGGTCAGCTGCGGGTTTTTAATTGCAGTGTAGACATATCCTCTGTGTATGTAACAAAGGATATGTCTACACAGCCGACATTGAAGTGCTGCCATGACAGCGCTTTAACATGGCTGTGTAGTCGCGGCTCCAGCGCTGGGAGAGAGCTCTTCCAACGCTGTAATAAAACCACCTCCGTAAGGGGAATAGCTACCAGCACTGGGAGCACTGTCTACACTGCCACTTTACAGTGCTGAAACTTGCATCACTTAGGGGGGTGTTTTTTCACCCCCCTGAGTGAAGAAAGTTTCAGTGCTGTAAGTGGCAGTATAGACAAGGCCAAAGGCACATGGTTTCTCAGCATGTCTGTTCCCTTGGCTAGACTGTGCCAGACCTCTGTGCAGGGCCAAAAGAGGATGGAAGGTACCAGGAGTCTATCTCTGTCCTTCTGCTCCCCTGCACATGGGTGAGAACACTAGCTCCCCCCTAACATCACCTGCAGGGACCAGTCACTACAAAGAAGTGTGTCATTAAGTATCATTATGACCACTTTACAGATGGGGAACTCCCTGAGGTGCAGTAACTTGCCAAAGGTCACAGAGCAGACCATAGGCAGAGCTGTGAGTGGAACACAGGTCCAAGTCCCAGTTCAGTGTGTGATCCATTCAGCCGCACTGGTTCCTACACAAATAGGCATGTTTTGCTATCACACCGTATACGATTCTTAATGATGTCAACAAGACTGCTGTACAGAAAACAGTTGAGCTACACTTTTATACAAGAACAGTGCAGATAGTAGAACAGTTTTGCCTTTAAGGATACTGTATAAAATACAGCAGGTTCCATTTGTATCCAAGACAAGTACCTAGTTCTGTCAGGTTCACAGTTTGTTCTGGAAAGTGATGCTTTGTCAAATGCAATGGTATCCTGTGATACAACCCTGGGCTCTAATGTCACTAGTGGTGTAGCAATGGCAGCATTCAGTCCCATCCAGTGTTCATTTAACAAACAGCGATTTTGGTCACTAATAGCAGCTCTAGCTCTAGCACTGCTCATGGCTCTCGTGGTTTTTTCCCTTGCCCCTATAACTGCATGCTCCTCTCCATCACCACGAGTGGGTATAAGGCCACTGCTTTCCTTTCTCTTGCTGCTGACTTCATTTTAGTGTCTGACATAGTGAAAGGCGATAGGGTGACGGAGATGGAGGGAGATGACTTCCAGCACACAGAAGACATGCTTTACTGTTTTGATGTGGGTCACATAGATACAGTGTTGTTTTCCATACAACCCAGTAAGCAGTGTTCTAACCAGGTTTTACTGCAGTTGCATTCAAATGAAATTTCATCACAAATTAAAGTTTCTATTCTAATATTTTATGCTAATCCCAGTCTTTAAAATTGGTTTTATAATGCCTTCTTTACCTTAAAATAAAAAGTCATTAGATTAATAACATTTAAAAAATATCTTTAGCTTGAAAATTCACCTCCAGTACGTGTTAGGGATTGGATTGGAGAATAAGAGGTTTTGTCCACAGCCCTACAGGGAGACTTGTAAATGGTATGAAGACAGCACCTTCGGGGAACATCTGCAGTTCTTGTCATTTTGCAGGTTAACACAGATCCCTCTAGCTGGCACTTGTGAATATTGCTAAGCAATCCTTCCCAATGCCGAACCCTGACATCTAAGTAGGAGGTTGCTAGACAATGGGCCCAATTCAACCCTGTTATAACTACACTGATTCCAGTGTGGTGTTGCCAGGTTGAATTTGGCCTGTTTTCCTTAAAAGTACAAAATACAGAATTAAATTTCAGCGTATGAATTAAAATAACTACTTACCAATGTAAGACCACTTAGATCCTGTTTAAAAAAACAAAAACAAATACAACTGTGAATATATGAAATTGAGCTTATTCTGTATAGTGTCAGCTGGTGAATTTTACAGTACTTAACTGTCTTCTGATTTCAGCTGTCCAGTACAAGGAGGCCAGTTTTCACAGATTATTAAAGACTGAACCCATGTACTGTCAGTCACAATGATCCCTGTGCTCCTACCCACAGAGCTAGAGAATCGGTTAGTTATTTGAATCCTTGGCAAAGGTAGTGTTTCTTAGTGGATAGACCCTTTGATGGGCACTCATGAGACCTGGATTCTATTCCCAGCTCTGCCACTGGCCTGCTGGGGGGACCTTGGGCAAGTCACTGTCGCCTTTTTGTGCCTCAGTTTCCCTAACTGTAAAGTGGGGATAATGATGCTGCCCTCCATTGTAAAGCACTTTGAGAGCTACAGATGAAAAGTGCTAAATAGGGGCTTGGCTGGATTGATTGATTTTTATTAATTACCTCTCTAAAGCCAAATTTTTTGGAATAGCAAGAGACAACACCCAGAAATCAGCTCTTCTCTCTGGCTGGTACAATGTGAAGCATAAATGGGCAGGCATGTGGTTGTCATTTAAGGTCACATGCATAGTTCAGATGGTTGAAGCACACCTGCAGCAAGCAAAATTTGATTGTCAGCTGCCAAAGTGAGAGATAAAAGGAAGTCCTTTCTGCAGAATCGTTCTGGGTATTCACCATGTGATTCTTGTAGGAAATGGCTGTGGTTTGTTAGGAGACAGTGTAAGTGCCTCTTCCTGTGAGGTGTGAGACCATTACTTGGTGGCTATTGTTTGCTTATTTGTTAAAATAGTCAATGGGACAAATTAATTCTTTGCATTAGGGATTGAATTTGGGCCAATACCTTTGCAAGTCATTGGAAGGTCAAAAAGTGTCATCTCTGTAAGAAGCACAGCAATATTTTAAATAGTTTTTGACTTTTGTTAGCCTGTCAATCTAAGTATCACAATACCCAAACAAAGACAAGGGTTCAGAAGTAAAACTGGAGAGCATAAATAACTAGCCAGGATTGATTAAAATCTTGAATGTGGTCCATGGTTTGTCAATTTCCACAGCTACAGATCACACCAAATATAGCTTTGATATTACTTGCAACACTGTACTGTAGGTATTCAGATCTGATAGTTAGTTTTGGGTAGGGTGTGCCTATCACATTTCTTGTAAATGGAATCGCTCTTGCTTCTTCTCAAAGCGGAGGTGATTGGTTAGAGTAAAATTCCATTTAGTCATTCTAAAGACTAAGACTAGTAAAATTGCTAAACAGGTGTTAGAAATCCCACAGGGTTTGATTGGCTTAACTCCTGCAGCTACTTTACACTAGCATGCCCACTGGCAGAGCTAGCCTGGGGTTGGAGGATTTTTCCCTAAACTGTCAGTGTAGTCACAGCTGCAGTGCTTAATACACAGAAATACCAGGCGTTAACTGTCCCATTTCCCTCCATGGCTGCATCTACAGTGGGAAAATTGACCTCTATAGAGCTGGCTGAAAAAATCTTCTGTGGACTATTTTTCCTCATAAAATGCAGTTCTGTCAAATCTAAATGCTTTATGAAATTTTGCTTTGGAACAAAAAGGGAAGGAGGGTGAGTTCCAATAATGTCATGAAGTTCCATTCTGGAATGAAATGTTTTGATTTTTAAAAATCTTTTCTTTGATTTTTTTTTCTATTTTATATATTATAAAATTTAAAAAGTCAAAATGAAACATTTTGATTGACTGAAATTGAATTTTTTTCTGAATTTTTTGTGTGGAGAACTTTGAAATGTTCAGGTTTCATTCCAAATCAGAATGAAAACAAATTTCAAAATCTCAAAATCCTTGGCAAAATGGAATTTCCATTCTCCATCCAGCTCTAATGACCTGTGATTCACTACCGTTGTAGCTTCGCTGGTTGTAGCAACAGTAGAAACAGTGCCATCTAACTCTGATCAGAATAGGCATGGATGACAAGATGGCAAAATCTCCTAGGCTTTGTCTACAGTGCAGTTTTCAGTATTGCTACCATCTGTAGAGCTGCAATGGTGGTGAAATCTGGATCATAAATTTGCCCATGTAGACAAGGCCACTGTCATCCCTATTTTTCTCAGTAAAATAAATGCCAGTGTATCTAGAAAATGCCAACCAGTTGGGATAGAGCTTAGCATAGCAGCAACTGGCAAAGGTTGAGGAGAGTGTCACCAGAATGCGGGATTCACTTTGGTGTGAGGGGGGAAACAGCAGCAGGTAATCCTTGGCTTTCCCTCTGTGTGTGGGAGAGACAGTTTCTTGTGCGGAATCTCCCCCATTTGTGTGGGGAAGTCTGAGTGATGCGTGACTCAGTTATGTTTCTGGGCATGGGGGAGGGGGAAATATAGTGACAGTGTCCCATCATATATATATAGATATAGGAAGTGATGATCTTTCAAAATGCACCTCTGAGTTGGAAAAGTGAGGAACGATAGCTATCCCTTACTTGTGTGTGGGGGGAGTGATGGTCTCCCCATCTGTTACCCCTATGGCTTGGCGAAGTCGGAAGGACGGGCACATACCTCAATTACCACTTCTGTTATAATGGAACATATAATTTTTCAGAGCTCATAAGAGAGTTTCTCTCCCAGACATGCCACAACTTCCAAGCCTCCCACTACTTTGTTCTTAAATACTTTATTCTGTGAACCACCAATAGGACTCTGAATTGCACAGTTTGAAAACCACTGGCCCAAAGGTGGGAGATTCTGCTGGAGAAGATGAAACTCCTCAGGAAAAATGCCTGAAATAACATGTTGACCCCAAAAGTTTTGATTCCAGCCCTAGTGTAACCCTTGCTAGCAAACAGCCGTAATCCAGTAGTTTGTACTGGTGTGGCACTGTATGAGGCTGAGTGCTCAAAGTCACTCTAAATCTCAAAGACTCCATGAACACACAGATCCGTGCTGCAGTTCTCCCTTATTTCCTATATAACTGCACTGAATTTTTTCTTAATGGATGAGAATTAACTCCAGCCAAAATCCAAGAGGGGAAGGCTGACCACCATCTTTTTAAAAACAAAAAAATCAAGTCCAGTATGTAAGAAAGGTGGCATTTCACAGTGACTTGAGCCATGTTTTTCCTCCTTAAAACTAAAGGGATGAGTATACAGTGTTCCCACTAACTCAGGGAGGGTCCCTTTTCTGCCTCACTCCCTGAGGAGCAGAGAGATCACAGACTGAGCAGTACTGAGTGTGGAATGAGTCCATAACACAAACTCACATGCTCTTCCCCAGGAATGTACCTGCCCTGAGACATTTCCTAACACTTAGTCCAAGTAATCTGCTAGCTAGAACAACACCAATGAACATACTAGGGAAACCAATAATCTCTCCATTTTACTGCCCATATTAGACCTGCCAGATTAGGAATGCCAATAAAATAAAAAGCTGAAAGGCTTTACCATTTAACGGTGCTTGCACTGAGAGCTGCGTCTTTTGGAAGAGAATAAGCACTGCAGCAGCTGTGACTATGCTGAAGCTCTTGGCTGACATCTCAAGGAAAGATTTAGAATCTCCCAACAGTTCATAGGCTTTTCTTCACTCCCTGAAGAAACTCCCTTGCAGATAGCTGGCTAACAGTAACATGCACACAGAGCTGCTGCTAAGGAGCTATTACCTCTCTCTCTCTTTTGGTCTGGTTTTTACAGAGCTCCTCCCCAGACTCAGCCCAAAACAAATGATGTCATCAGAGACCTGCCTTCCAGGTCACTGCATCTTCATGAAACTGATCATTTCCTTGATAACCCCTACTCAGTTGTACTGCAGAAGTGTTAGACCTTGGTACTTAGCTGGAGGATTGAGACCTGGAGCTTCAGAAGCCTTCAGAAGAGATGTAAATGCCTAAGAAATGGACATTGCTTCATGGGTTTTTTATCCTTTGCTTTGCCAGTTCTAGCCTGCCCAGTTCCCACATCCAAACCACCATGATTTGGTTGAGGGGATGTGGGTCCAGCCAGGTATAATAGATCCCAAAGCCTGAGCTGAGGGAAAGGACTATGGGTCAGACTCTTAATAATTCAGGGGAAATTTGGAAAATTCCTGTCACAAACTGTCCAGGCTGTGAGAAGGGGATTTTGCCATTGAAGCCACCGGGAACTGACAGCAGAGATGAGATGGGACAGATTGAGAGTCATCAGGATACAGCCCAAAGGCTACATCCAGTATATGTATGAATGAGGGGAGTAGCGGGCGGGGTAGGGGGGAAGCAGAGGTAAGAGGGCATGTCCCCTGAGGAAGGGGGACATTGCCCTGAGGAACACAGGCTGCATGTGGGGAGTGCACACCATTCCTCGCGAGGGGTCCCAGGCTACAGCTGGAGAAGGGCCTTTCTAGTACTCCCCCTATCTCCGCAGGGGGGCCGAGAGCCAGCTCACCCCAAGGAGAGGTCCAGTGGGACCGATGTTCTGTTAATATGTAGCTCTAAGGTGGTGGGTGTTTATAACGAGTATTAACTACTGATTGCAAGTAGTTATTGACTATTAAGTATATATGGGTATTTATTATCCAAACTATTCATTATTGTTAGCATTGTTATTGATTAATTGATTATTAGCTTTCAATAGTATTACTTAGCATAATTAATCACTCTGTTAAAGGGACAGTGTCTGTGGGGCTCTTGAGAGACTGGTTCATTTCAAAACCTTCTGGCCCCTAACCAGAGCCCTGAGAAGAGCTGGCCCAGTTTTTGCTCTCGTAGATGTTGATCAGGGTCTCTCAGGGTGTGCTGGTCTGGTTCCTCTTCTCCCTGTGTACACACATTGCCAGCCAGCTGGCTGGCCTCCCCACTTTCAGCTCCAGTAGAGTTGGGCTGGGCTTGACATGAGCCCACCTCCAAACATTCCACTGACCCCCTCTCACGGCTCTTTGCAGTATCTTGTAAGTCTTTATTATGATCGTTGATTACATTTTTGTAGGCTGGGCTGGAAGTAGTCAGACGGGGATGGGGCTTGAGATGTAGTGATCATGTTTTTAATGCTGTTTGTTTTGCTGGTTGGCTGCTGATTATTATTAGTAATCTTGTTTATTGTGGCCAAAGGCCAACCGAGAACAGGGGCCCTATTGTGCTAGGTGCTGTACCGACATAGAGTTTGCACAGTCTGTGCCCTGAAGAGCTTACAATCTAAATGGACAGAAGAGACACAGGGTGGGGAAGGGGTCTCATGCACAAGTAGAGTGAACAGTCTGATGGAGACAGATGACATGTTAGTGCCATGATTTTGGTGGTGGGGGGGAAGTCATTTAAGAGGGGATCAGCTAAATTCAAAGGAAAGGGAAGAGAAGGACAGTGATGGGGACAGGGCAGAGGAGAAAAGGGTGAGAGGGGAAGGTGTGCAGTGAACCTGAGGTAAAGTGACTGTGTGGGAGGAGTGGGATGGAGCAAATTGGCACTGGGCACAGAAAGCCCAATCAAGACTGTAGGAATTTCTGAGCGTGGGTGGGAAGGTCCCTGCTTTGGTTGCATCTGCTCTTACTGGCTGGAATCTCAGCTGGTTCCTCTCTGCTGTTTTTACCCTGGGGCACATGGCCGGGTTGGTTTCACCTTTGAACCCATGCATTTCAAATGAGGATACAGTTTAGGATTTTGTTCTGAGTGTAGGTTTGTTGGGGGTTGTACAAATGGACTAAATGAGAGTGGACTGAAATGGCACAGAGGGGAAGCTGGGAGACAAGAGCATTTCAGGTGCATTTTTTATTCTTGAGCATCAAATGAGAGAAACAGGCAGGTAGCTGAGACAGAACAATCTCCCCTGACTAAAATTCAGCAGAATTTCCTTGAAAGGTTTATTGCAAAGCACACATTAGGTATCTACATCCAACTGGCATGCACCATTTTTCCCACCTGAACTTGGATATCTGTCCCCAAAATCAAATAGCTTCTAAACCAAGATTTTCATTCATCAATTTCTCTGACTGCCTGAAATGTTCTGACACCCCAAGTATCTAAAGTGGAGCACTGAGCAGCTCTGGGGTTTTTGTTTTTTTAATATCAGGTCATCGGAGAAGTCAATGGCTAAAATCCATGTATGTGGAATAGGATATCTGTTAAGTGATTGCATCTTCTGTTCTGTGTACTATTATCCAACAGAGCCCACGTAAATATCTACTGAAAGAGAGGGCATATTCATGTGTAACAAACTTATCCAAGCAAAAAAGTAGTAAATTTTATAGGTAACTGAGTAATTTGCACATACTTAGCTACTTAGGAAGATGCAACACATCCATATTGGAGCATATGATTACCATTTAGCTCTTCTATAGTTGTAGTAGACTTTAGCATTTGTTAAGTGCATGCATAGCATGATATAATCACCAGAGGAAATGTTCATTAACTGCAGGTTGTGTTCCCCTTTAATTTTCTTTACTTATAATCTCATGGCCACTGGTCCTACCAGTCTTCTTACTACAGCAGTGTATATGTTTTAGATAATGATGTGCCCAACTGTTTTTTTATCCTTCCCATTTATACAGACAAAGATTAAAGGATTATGGCTTTCTAAGCACAAACAGTCTCAGAAGGGTCTAGCTACAAATAACTGTGCTCATGGCAGTACATCTTTTACCCTTTGAAATATGTTTTAATACTGAAGTTTACTTAAATTTTTTAAACGTCATTTCTGCAAAGTAAGGTGTTTTAATTTCTTTCAGGGCTCTTCAGGTTCAAGGTGTTTTACCAGTGTAAGTTCCAATGTAACTTGGAGAAGTCATGGCTGCCCAGCACACTGGAATCTTTCTTTCTGGCCAGGGCCGCCCCAGGCAAAAAAGAAGAGCACCGCCCCGCCGTACCCCCCCCCGCCCGCCCCGCCCCCCCCCCCCGCCCCACGCCCCCCGCAGCCCCCCCCCCCCCTCCGAGCACCACGCCGCCCAAAGGCCCGCCCCCCTGAGCACCACGCCGCCCGAAGCCCACGCCCCCCCCTCCAAGCGCCGCGCCGCCGAATAAAAAAAAAAATAAAAAATCGAGCGCCGCCCTGCCCCAAGGTGCCGCCCCAAGCACGTGCTTGGTCGGCTGGTGCCTGGAGCCGGCCCTGTTTCTGGTTTAAGCATTGCAGAGGTAATGAGCAGATGCCTGCCAATGGCAGTAGACACAGCCTTGCTGTCATTGCTCTGGAGAGCCTTGGGAAAGCATGAGCCAGGTTTTTTGGATGAGAATTAAAGTGCTGGGATAGAATGTTGTCTCTGAACTGCTATGGGGAGAAACAAGGTATGAAGAAACGGTAATAGATATGACACAGCAGAGCTTGAGTTTTCTACCTGCTAAACAGAATTACTTTAGTGCAATGGTAAAACCGAGATTATAATCCCATAATAAGGATATTTAAAGTTGAGGTTCCCACAGAAATTCTTAACTCCGTCCTTTTGCACACATGCCTTGCCTTGCAATAGGTTATTTCATTTCATGATCCTGCTTCATTAGGGAAGGGAGTGTTGTCTAGCAGTTGGAGCAAGGGACTCAGGGTAAGGAGTTGTAGGATCTGTTCTTATCTCTTTTCAGAGTAGCAGCCGTGTTAGTCTGTATCCGCAAAAAGAACAGGAGTACTTGTGGCACCTTAGAGACTAACAAATTTATTTGAGCATAAGCTTTCGTGGGCTACAGCCCACTTCTTCTTATCTCTGTCACTGTGAATTTAGGCAAGACATCTTACATCTTTTTACCTCTCTTTCCACAGCTATAAAGTGGGGATAATATTTGCTTGTAGAGGGTAAGGTGTTGAGGCATAATATAACATAACTTCATATCTGCAGCTCTTTTCATCTGAAGATATCGTAGCATTACTGAGCCACATTCTGAGGCCCTTACTCCTGTTGAGTAGCTTCAAAGGGGCTAATTAAGAACTAAGAATCTGGCCCTAGGTTTGTAACTTGCAGAGAAGCACCTGATACCCTTGCACATGTTAACATACATTATGTGGAAAAATACAAAAATATCATTCTGCCCAGATCTCCATGCTGCCTACCCCTCCACCTAAGCATCTTTTATGGCTATGGCTTTTTTTGTCCTTTACTCACACCAGCTTTGTGCTACTTTTCATATGACCCCATATTGTTTATCCAGGCTTCCAATTTAATATGCTGAAAGACCTTTTCCTCTACTTAAAAAACAAAAGCCATCTTTTGCATGAAGGTGTCCACTTCTAAAGGTGGTATTCAGTGTTGTGTCTTGTACTGCATTGTACATGTGTTTTGATATTGTTAAGTCTTCAAAGCAAGAACCCCATTTGTTTAAGTCTTATTAATATATAGCAGGGTGTACTAGAGTGCTATATAAATTTGAATGCTAACATCCAATGGCGTAGCTTAAACTTTCCAGACTCTCACATTAGACCATAAATTGCTGTTGGTCCACTGAAGACAAGGGGAGACTTAAGTACAACTCAGTGGCAGGATCTGGTCCCATTATAATGATATGGCCACAAAATTCAGATCAGATGTTGGAGGTTCAGATCCAAATTCATCCATGGCCCTTCCCTGCCAACTCCCAGCTGAAATGTGGGGAA